TTATTTTATTTTTTCGGATACGTTGCATGTGTAATATTGGTTGCATATAGTTTTATGTTAGTTAATGTATGGAAAGTTGTATAATAAATAAAATTTATGAGAAGCATATTCAGAAAAACGTTTATTTTATTTACTATTTGGACAATAAAATAAATATGAATTTATGGGGAGATGAATAACATGTCCTCAAATATTTCATGTTTTGATTGCGCCAAACTGCAAATAATTAAAGTGAACTCAATTTTATCCACTATCGTTAATTGCGTTGCGTTTAAAATATAAAACTCAAATAAACATTAGGCCATATAAATAATATATATAGGTGCTTGAAGTGCGTTCTCATTGGAATTTGAAAGTTTCGGTGCAGCGATGCATCAGGAACATTTGCAAATTCACAAAATTAGATAGGATGTAGCGCGTCGAATAAATAAACAAGGTTTATATCATTTGGTACTTGCTGATGCGTAGTGCACTCAACGTTTATGTTATTATTCACCATGTTCACAATTATCACCGAGTATTGACAATTGCAAAATGTTTGCAGGTTATAAACATTTATCTGTTTAATTTCTAATAACCTAAACACTCTGTATATAAGAATTTTATTTGCAACTATTTCAAATGTGGAAAATAATTATGTAGCACGGGTTGCCGTACGACAAGGGGGGAAATGGCGGAAATTGAAAATTGAATATTGACGAATATTTGTGCGATCAATGCATGACGCACGAACGCTCCCGAAATGTTGCTCGCAGGTTCGACCTAGTTTTGCATTTTCCTATTGGCATCCTAGTTGCAAAATGCAAACAAACAAACATTTAATAATTAACTTTATTCTTTAATGAATTTTGATATATGCAACCCAATACGCCGCTATCAAGCAGCCGAAGACTAATTCGCATTCGATCGTCGGTTAAAATTACAAAATATCGTTCTCGTTCATCAATCAACACTCGAATTCATCACGACCTGCTAATTGTTTGCGCAGATAATTAATCATTGAAAACTCCCCGCTACGTTCGAGTGTTGGTTAATTGAGTTCGAGTGCGCGTCCAATTTCATAACAGCGCAATTAAATTTTACAACATTTTAAGTTCACATGTATTTTATTTCGCGTTTTTGTGATTTTTTTCGCGCTTTTTTTATATTTTCGGATGTTGGTCATAAAAACGGGTGCTTTTTCGAGTGCCACAGTTATAAATGCGAGGGCAGTTCGCCCCGGTGTGATACTTAACAACAGTTATGTTACTTATGATTTATATTACGAGCCAACACATCCATTTCCGGTGGCGCGGCGAGCGCAAAACGAACGCATTACGCATCGCATTCATCTCGGAGTTGTGCTTGCACAAGGGCCACCAGACCACCGCTCGGTCATCCGACGTGTCACAATATTCATAGAATTCATAAATTCATGTCCACCGAACAAATTCCGGCGCTATTTGTCAAAATATTCACATTGAATGTTGGATATTTTTAAAATTATGCGTTCGTGTACATTGAGTTGTCTATATAATGGAAGTAAAAAAATATTGAGAAAACAAAGCGGGTAGTAATCCGACGCCTGCGATTTTCTCGGGCACGTCTCTTCTCCAGGCAGCGGCATTAAATCACTGCCCGCTTCGATTTGCATCTGCCGCCCCTCTGCCGTCGCCGGTTTCAGTTTCGCTCGATTTCTCAGCGCCTCGCGCGCGCAAAAGCGTCGCCTACTTCATTAACGCTTCCGGCCCACCATATTTTGTTACCAGCGCTGCGTTAATTATCGCCTTGAGAAAATGACACATTGATTACGTAATAATAACGCCTAGAGTGTTGGTTTTCATCAAAATATAAAGACATTTTGTTCCGCGCTTATGTTTACTTAGTATGTAGGCAACACATAATACAAAACACTCAAAATGGCCGCGTTGGAAATTGCGTTGAATTAAATTCAAGTAGATATATATTTGATTATATCCAGAATAACAAAATGATTTTCACCGAATGCAAAATTGTCTTGCCACACGAAATAAAACGAAATTTTAAGTGGCTACGGATAAATTAGATACAACGTACGAAACATGAGCCCGAATGGCAAAGCTCATAACCATATATGTGTGTTGAGTGTGTCAGTGTACAGGAGAGCGCTTGGGTAGAAGACATAAGGACGTTTATGTTCATGTCCTTGCACAAATAGACAGCGCTCGCTGAACAAACCCAAACGGAAACGTGCAGATACGCAAAGATACCCGCCCGGCTCGAAAACACTCCCGAAACGCTATCGAAACGTTGAGCAACTTTCGGAAATATAAAACTGAACGCGGTTCACGCGCATTCGTCGAAACTGCTCACTGCTGAAACATACAGCAGGTTTCAATGCAAGCAATATATAGAAACGACGACATTTCGATAAGTTTTGATGGCTTTTAACCGATAGGTGGCGTGCGACATACAACTTTAAAGTGGACCACTTTAGCCATACAACTAAACATGAAATAACAAGTCGTGTTTGGTGCATTTCATTTAAGTTTGTACGTTTGTATAAATTTCTAAATGGTTTCGAGAGTGCATTTTGTGGCAAATATTCCATTTGCGTTTTTCGTTTTATTCGTCGAGTCTTTTTACATCTTGCATGTACGAGTGCATATCTTGTGCGGAATAAATTTGATGGTTCAATTTCCATAGTAATTCTCGTGTTCAATTTACGAAATTTACAATAATCTATGTTCGGAAAATAAACACTGAGTTTAGAAACTTGTTAATTAAGTTTAGTTTTATTTGATTTTAATTTAAATTAAGTTTTGCAGGTTTTGCTACTCGACTAGTAGACGTAAATAAAACAAAGTTTATGTTGGTTTTTATTTTGTTTTTAATTGAAAATTTTTGCGGAGCGTTTGCGTGATGCTCGTATCAGTTAATGATACAATTTTCCAATCTGTCCGAGACGGTCATAAGTGTTGCAAAGTTGCTGCCTCACGAGTATTCCCCTTGCGCGACAAACTTCGGTTATGGCATTAACTGCGTATTAGAAACTTTGGCTGCATGCGAAGCATCTAAGTTCGGCTTCAATTTTGCTTCAAGCTCAACTATAAGATTAAAATAAAAAATAAAAATAAAAACGATTTGAGACATAACCATGAATTGGATATTTTTTAGGTTATGACGGATAGGTTATGTTTATGTTATTATTTGAGGTTATATTGTTTGAACTTTTAACTTTTTAATCAAATGCCACCGCAAATGTTTGAAATTTTCTCATTTTTATAAGAAAAAAACTTATTTTTCGTTCAGTTTTGATAAAATAATATTTTCAAGTTTTCGTAGCAAACTTTGAATGGTTCGCTTGCTGGCTTCAACTCTAACTGTAATAGCACTGCGCAGTGTGCAGACAAATGTCAAAAATTAAGATTTGTCTGCGGCCTCGTTACGCCGTCTTCAGAGTTCGACTTGTTCGCCGCCATTCAACTTCTCGGAGGCAGTATAGTATTCCCAAAACTGTCTCTGGCTCTCCAGTCTTCCAAATCGTCGCGGGCATTTATTGCGCGGCGCTAAAGTTCCCCGAAAGTTGGTCTGTCGGAGAAGCTGCGGTTTATGAAACGCGACGCCACAAATATCGCAAACACACGCAGCAGGCTCATACCTCATCTCTGTGTACGAGCCAAATCCCAACACACGATGCTATTGTTCTGCTTCTCTTATTGCATCGCATTGCAATCTCGTGCAGGCCGGAAAAAAGTGGATTTTAAACGAGCGGTTATAAATCCGAGGTTTGTTTAACGTAAGCAGGTTGCGCTGCATGGAGACGTGCCGAGGAATCAGGCCGTGGATTCTACGCGGCGCTATTGCATCGCGCTGCATGGAAATATGAAATGTTGCCGTGGTAAACGATGAGTATTCATTATTTTTGTGGTAGAGTGCACGCGCATGCTGCACCTTGGCGCGACACTCGAGGATAACGAACGTGATGTGCGCCGAATGTAATGCGAGGCGGATTTTTCATTAGCGGGGCGGAAAATTGGTAAATATTTACTTAACATTCTATGTAAACACAGCGATGGAAAGTTTCTAAATTCGTAAATACACTCGCATGTGTGTTTATAATTTAAAACCGCAGGTGGCGACATCTATCGGGATCTATTCACAACCAATACTTGGAGACAAAGGAAGAATCGACTTGTTTGTGCGTGCAAAATTATTTCTTATCGGAAACCGCGTGTTTCGTGTCGTTATGCTTATAGTAAAGAATAACTACGTGTGATTTAATAAGTGTTTTATTGTTTTTTTTTAATTATCATCGATTATTCGGGCAATAGTGCATCGTTTATAGGCCGAAAACCAGTCAACAAGTAAAATTTTGATTTTGATATTAATTTCTTTACATTTCTAGGTTAAAATAGTGCAAAGCACACATTCCATACAATATGACACACACTCTTCATCAACTGCACAGCTAAAACGTTAAATTCAGCTACAATGAAGAAAATGAAGAAGATAGAAAGAAGTGGAAGCTATTCACCAAGCGAAATGTTGGAAGAAAAAACGACAACGCATTGACGACCAAATAATCCGATTAATTTGAGCCAATTTGTTGCAGTTTGCAGATTTGTGCAGACAAAGTAAGCCCATAAGTCTAAACCTTATTTGAAATCAATTGATTTCATGTTGTCTTTTATCATCTATTGTTTACTAACACCCTGCACAATTCTTCAACATTAACCTGTCTATTGATTTGCTTGGAAGCAAATTTTCGCATATAAATGAGTATTGTAATACTTTACAAACAAACATAACCTTACCTAACCTACGGGTAACCAAATTGAAGCTATAAGTTGCAACTTTGCGTGCGAGATAAGTTTCCGACCTTCGCAGGCGCGAAACAATGAACGCGCGACACTCACCCCACGTCAGTCGCTCGCGGTGTTCAACCCTTCCCGCTTCGCAACCCCGCCGCTTGCGATAGTATAGTAGGCAGTAGTAGTACGCGCGCGCGCGCGTCGGTCCAGCGTCGGGACGCTGACGGGTGGCGGCGTCCAGTGTGGCGGCGGCAGCGGCGAGGTTCGGACGCACGATCGCGCGCACCATTTCAAACCCGCCCCCCTAGTGTGGTGAGCAGGGCTGCGAGACGCAACGATGGCAAAGTCGCGCGCCGCCCGTCGCAACCGAAATTAATTTACATACAGCAACAAAACTTTGCACACGCCAAACAATTTTTCATTTCATAAATCTATTCTATTGTGCTGCGTACATAAACAAATCGTCATAATAATCAAAAGCAAGAAACAATAAACAAAGAAGCGTGCGAAGCGGTAAATAAATTGCAGGGGATTAATACAAACGTAATGAGAAAATATGCTATAATATTTGAATTTAATAGTCGTTAAAGTTTTGCAATTGATTCAAATGGTTTATTAGACTGAAACGTGGATATCGTGCGTGTTGACAGGATGCGAGAGAAAAAGACAATTGGAGGAAATATGTTAGTGTTGATTGTTGCCGTTTTTGGAGCTTTAACAGGTACAATTCTTATTAAAACGCCTTTATTACACACGATATAAAAGTTTAATCTATATAATTTTGCGCGTAACATGTTCCCGTGTCAATTACGTACGTTTTTTTTTGTATTATGAAACCCCGAGCGCATAAAACGCGCAGGTACAAAATGAAAACGAAATTTATGAAGTTTTTTCCCCTCTTCAATCTTCCGACTATGTTTATTCAGTGTGCGTCAGTCAAAATTTGAGTTCTAACTTAATATTGCGCACCGAAAAACCGGAAAAGCTTGACATGCATGCGCACACGTAAAAGTTTTCTAATTGCAGTGCGCGGCTAACTTTATTCGGTGGCCATTGTTAATGTCAAACTACTTTGCAAACTTTTAAATACCTTCGCTAATTGACGTTTGTAATTCGCATTGGAACTTTGACTATTTTCGGCTTTAGAAACACTTTTAATTGGGTTAACCTAACTTAACTTATTTAAGGTTAGGTTGGTTTCCTGTGTGGAATATATGACAAGTATTGAATGCGATGTAAACTTTTCATAATCGCCTTCTCGCGTTGCACTTTTAATTGAGCGCTTGCAGCGAGACTTTAATTGCACGATCCGTGCGCGTAAAATTTTAATTAAATATGCACAATTTTATTACTCAATAACGCGAGCCACAACAACAGGTAACACACCGGGTGCCGCGGGTTGCTTGCATAAATAAAACCGGCGATCGTAAAAAAGTTTCGCTTCTAAGCTGGTGGAGAATTTTTTTTCTTCTCGTTGCTCGGATGCTTTTTGTTTGTTTTGGTGGAAATGGTGGGATGTAAAGTAGAAAAATAAAACGCAAGCGGGGAAACTAAAGTCGAACATGCATTTCGTGTGCATAAACGCTTGTTTGAGTAATAATTAAACTACGCTTTACATTATTCAATGCGCAAACCGAGCGAATCGTATTTTTTCATTTTTTGCATTCGGTGCGTTGGAGTGAAGCAGAGTTGTGTGAAGCACGGAAAAACAGCTCGGGCATAAATTAAAACCGCTGTGCATGTGCGAAAAAAGAAACGTGGAAAGCGTAGAAGTGAAGTGAAGCTACGTTTGTCGGATTTACCTACGACTATGAGCATATCCTATGCTTTGCATATAACATACAGTGTGTGTGTGGTGATGATGTAGATTTATACGTAGTTGGGAGCGATGCACTTGCTTTGTACATGTTTTCATGCTGTATGAAGTAAAACAGTCGTGACATGAGATTTTTAAGTAATGTAAAGGGTTTGCATCACTCCCCAACGGCAGGCAACCCACAGTGCAACAAAGCTCAGCGTGTAGCCGAGCCACACTCACACTGCGGCGTTGCAACGTTGCGATGTTGAATGCATGTGCACGAAGATGTTTTCATCACAAGCGAACATCAAACAGGCGCGCGCGCGTGCTCTGGAAATATTCCCGGAGCGAAATATGAAAATTGAATTTTGCTTCCTGCTTCGCGTGCGTTGGTTGATGCAGTTTCGCGGACGTTTCAATAGTGACGTCGTTTTTGAGGCGCGCCAATTCGCGCACCTATTGATGCGTTTCGACATTTTGAATTTGCGCGATTGAGGCGCGCACCCTGCGAATAGAAATGTTTACACGGAAATGCGTTTCGAAACGTTTTGACAAGCGCTTTGCAAATTTTGCAATTTGCATTGCGTTATTGGCTGAGATTCGCGGAATAAAAACAACAAGGGAATGTGTGCAATGCACAAATCAAAATCATTCAAACATCGCGTTTACGTTTTGCTTCTGGATTTATTATTTTTGGATATTTTGACGGTAACACAGCTTTGTACTCGCAATTTTATTGCAAATTCATCGAATATGAGGCATTTGATTGAATGCCAAACGGCTACTGGTATCAAGTGTGTTGCCTACACTGTACTTTATTCGGTTGATGTATATTTGGTTGCTGCAAATCAGCATACATACACCTGAGACTGCTGCAACCCGAATTGGACGAATCGTAATATAGACCTACATTCGCCGCCTGTGTAAATAATACCAGAGGGGTAGTGCAACCCCAGCGTTATTACTATTACGGGCGCCTCAACGCGGAATGTGTTAATGTGTTAGTAGGACGCGAAACGAGGGGCGGTCGTGTACCGCCCGCAGCGCGCTGCACACAACACAGACACACAAAAACGCGTCACACGGTTGGGGGTAGGAGAGCATTTGATAGATTTGGTATGGTCGGGGTTGATACGCGCGTACAAATTGCGCGGCCGGAAATTAACGCCATTGATTTTTGGCACAGATTCGAGATGATTAAATTTTGACATTGCGTAAATAATAGGCAGCCAACATGGCACGAAATTTTTAATATGTTGCATTAATCCGCACATGAAATTTTATAGCGCGCACATTCTCCGCAATCATTATCGTAATAAGTTGTAATAAGTATTTTGTCTCAAGTAATTAACGCGCTGGCAAAGCGCACCCCTCGGCTTGCCAATGATTTATTATTTAAGCGAACGCAAATAATTAATGGGAGTAATTTCGCGAAACGCGCGGCGTTATCCTTGAGCATGTCCTTTGTGTTTGCAGAAAAATATTCTCTATGCGTAAGCTCTTTTTTTTTGTTTAATGTATAAATTACTCACAAAAACAAAATTAAAAAAGTATTGCAATTTCTACGCAATTTTTTATAAGAAAGTAATTAAAATAAAATAATTTACAAATTGCGTCGTTAAATTTGATAGTTTTAAGCTTGGGACGTGCACAATTGCGAGTTTAATATTTCAGCGTGAATTGTCCGGTCGTAAGCACGGTTCTCATGCATTTTCGTTTGTTTTGCTCGCCGCCGTGTGTTCGGGCCTCCGAAAACTCCTAAAATGTTTAATTCCCGTTTTTGTATTCAACGCTTGACCCGCCCGGAAACAACACCACGCCGTATACAGTCACACCGCGCGCACCAACCTCATTCGAAATTAATGCGCAGGTAGGACTCAGCCTAGGACTATACCGATCGGCGCGGAGAGCGGCATCCTGTGCGCCTCGAAATGAACACATTTACAGGCGCAGTCGAAACACAACGCGGCCGAGCTTTAATACTTAATGCGCGCGATGCCTTCCTTCCTGTTTTCCTGCTTGCGTCGCTTTTATCACGTGCGCGCGAACCGACAACTGCGAGAAACTATTCGCGAATCGTAAAACTATTTCGAAAATTGTTGCGTTATTAAATTCTAATTTTCATTGCGACTTGAAACGCGTAAAAATCTTGAACAAACGAGAGGAACGTATATATGAGGTTTTATTGTTTTTACTTTCGCCGTGTAAAAATAGAATAAAACCGTGGAGCGTGGGGCAAAAAAATGGTTACGATGCATTTTTCATAATTTCGCGTAGTTGGAAAAGTCGTGGGCGAGCGAAACACCAGCTGAACACGAGAACAAGAGAAGAATCTTCATAAACAATTACAAAGAGGTAAAGCTGGGAGTTTTGTTTCTGTTTGGCGAGTTTGGAAAGTTTCACTTATGGGGTTGAACAAACGGAGAAACACGGTGTGTCATTTCGGTTGGTTTATCTTCAAATTTAAACAAGAAAACGCGAAAAGAAAATACAAATGTTTAGGGAGGATAAAATTTTTATTTAATAAATTATTTACTGCGCAGTAAAATTTACTCTGTCAAAATATTTAGCATTAAAATAAATTTATTTGCGTTTAAATCATTTAAAAATCAATTTAAACTTTATTTTGCATTTTATAAAATTAATTTTATAGTTTTCTACATTATTTACTCGATAAAATTAAAATTATTTAGTATTTTGTATTATTTCGGAGTTAAAATGACTTTTATTTAAATTTTTACATTTTTTTATTTTAAAATCATTTTAATTACTCAAAAAACAATTTTTCACAATCGAATAATTTTGTACAATCCTTTTATTACTATTTTTATTTCACTGGTTTTCGTTATCCTTGCCGATTTGAACAGACAAGAGACGCGTTTAACGACCTCGTTTTAAAACTTACCTACGACAACGAACATTTGAATGTGCATATCAGCGCACACCCCTCGGTGGATATGTGCGAATTATACAAGTACTACTGGGCGCAACTGAGCAAGTTTCAAAACGAAATGGCATAACCGGATTACACATTTATCCCGCTGAATTGCGCGCTAGCAACTTGGCGTGCATCGCCCAGCGCAGGAATTCAAAGTCTTCTTCGGCAAGTGGAAACTTTATTCACAAATTAATTAACTTTAATTTACACATTCGCATACGCTTCGAATCCCGCCAAACCACTTCCAACAATAAAATTAATTAGTTTATTGTAGTTTAATTAAAAGTAAACATATGACATTGTTTTCTAAATTCTAACCTCATTTATGATTTTCATATATAGTTGAGATCATGTAGATACATGTGTAATGAAGTGTTTCTTGTGCATTTTTAACGTGAACTGATTCCACTCTGAATAATTCCGAATTAAAGTGTAAATAATTGCAATGGTTATTAAATATTCCATTATGATTAACGTGGCGCAAATGAATAAATAATCTCCGACGCATGAAATTGGGTCGCGCCGGTGGGCGGTGGGATTTTATTCGCGAGGTTGTGGTACGCGCGCGCTCGCTTTCTCGAATATTATGCAATTTGATGTGTGTCGCGTTCATAATTTAGTTTATAATTAGCAGTAAAACATGTGCCTGCGCGAGGCTTGTGTTTTCGACTAGCCGAGCAACATTGCAACGCATTTAATATTCTCTGTGCAATGAAAATTCGAAATTTCCGAGTATATTATGCGTGTTTGAGTGCGCAACCGGAAAAGCGGTTTGTAGTTTGCTAACATCTACGCCTGTAGATTGAGGTGTGTGGACCGCGCGTAAAGTGCAATGATGCAAACGCAATTTTTCGCCCGCCGAGGGCACAAAAGTTAATTAAATGTTGTAAATTTCATGCGCGCGAATAAATCACACAGGTCGAGACATAATTTGTTCTTTTTGAAAGTGGACTATATGCACATATGCTCCAGAAACTAAATTCAA